CAAAAACACATAAGTGCTCAGGCTCCAAATGAGCGCACCCTTGAGCCTACCATCCGCTAGAAATAAGGCGTGCTCGCACCCAACAAGACAATCAGTCTAATACAAGCGATTTATTTTACGTTGTACCCATCGAGACAAAACAAATCTAAGATGAACAGCGGCCACCTGTCATTCAAATCCATTCCATACCACACATTTCGAAGCTTTGCCTTCAGTGCCGTACCGACATGCTCATCCATCTTTTGTATCGTATGCACTGCCCGTTTCATCTCCCTTTCGTATCCCATACGCATGCTACTGCTCGTGAGGGTACTCAGTAAGTCGCGGGCCACAGACACAAGACGATCAGTGCTGTGCACCGCGCAGAAGATCACGATCTGCTCCTTGTGAGTGATACTGCAGTTGAACGGAGCACTTATGATCAGCTGGTCGTCCTCAAGCACGTATTCGTATGTAACACCCGGCACAGCCAGGAACCGTTCGTAATACGTGCAGTGATTGCCGGTCACGAGCAGTACAAGATTCTTTGTCTCGTTCGGCACGTGTTCAGCGTACCTTTCAAGAGCGCTGAGCAGGAGTGTCTTCGTGAGCTCGTTCCTCTCGTTGCAGTATCGCTTCATAGCCACGAACAGCGCAATTTCTATGAGCTCAGTAATACCGCCCGACAGCACGCGTTCCACTAACTCGTGTAGCTGTGCACCACACAGTTCAAGAACATCCACAAAATACCAAAACACCTTCACATTACTTACCTCTGCACAGCTTGCCATGACATACGTCCTCACGCTCTCCACCACAGCGCTGCTTACTGCTTCGCCCCTCCTCGTTTTGTGCCACACACTCGCTCTCATCAAATATGCGTTGTATTCGTCAACCCGCATAACGCAGTTCTCATCGATTGTGATCATTTCATGTTCTGCCTTCATACATGAGTATGCTCGACCAGCCACACTCTCAAAATTAAACGGCTGTGTGCTCATCTTACAGCTTAGCAGCATGCGGTAGAACGTACACGTACAGAAGCGATCCGTGGGACGGGCATCGATGTGCAGCCCTGTAATGGCAGCAACGAATAACGCACTCTCTGTGTCCGGACACGTATGGATGAGTGCTTTGTTGTCGGGTGTGATGAGCATGCGTAGCAGTGTATGCATGTGCCCCCTGTATGTATCTGTGCTCATTATGTCTTTGAAGTATGCAAGCTCGTCCTGTACCAGAGCGTTCTTTTCCTTGTCTGTCATTACAAGGTCGTTTTTTATTTCGTTGAAGATCGCCGCTTTTACCTGTGCTGTTTGATCGATAACCGCACGATGCGCATCCGTTCCAGCGCTATTTAGATTATTTTGGTGGCCCAAATTAATATCAGAGGCATTCATAGCCAGGTTATTGCCTGATCCACTGAGGATCTGCCCCTGTATTTCCCTGCCTACGGTTCGTTCCAGAACGAGCGCTACCAACTCATAGTTCTTATTGTGCAGGGCACTGCTCAGCAGTGCTCTCAGATCAACAAGTTCGGTGTATTTCTTCAAACAAAGACCCAGTATGCGGTTGTCACCGCATTTCATGAGCTCATTCACAAGTCCACACTCCTCAAACATGTGGTGCATCTCCTGGTAGATAAGCGCATGCAGCACGTTCATAACAAGCGGTGCACACTCCCCGCTACGCAACATATCCATCAAAAAGCTGCTCGTCATCTCTACATAGTAATCAATCTCCTCAAACAGCTCTTCCGTGCTTGCTGCGCTCTCGTATCGCACAAATATAAAATAGAGCACATAAAGAAAGCGTTCTCGCTGTACACGGTCTACCGGTGCATGCACATTTTCCAGCCGTACGCGTATCGTACCTGACACAATTTCAATAAATTGGCACACAATACGAAAATTAAAATCACTGCACGTGTACAACACGTCCATCATCGTCGTATAGATGTCGTTCAGATACTGTACATCCATGTTGAGCTGTTTCTTGAGCGCCAAGCCCACAGCGTTCTTCAGGAACACGAACGTGAGGGTGTGATCATTTTTTAGAAGCGTGAGACTTTCCTGCTGGATCGTAGGACTGGAGAGTAGAGGTGTTAGTGCTGTTGGTGGTTTGTTGGTTTCTAGAGATTCTTTTAGGGACATTGATGGTTTTTTTGTGAGGGTAAAAAAATGAGATGAACAAATACGGGCATATGCGTATGTTTTGGTAGTGGGGAATGGTATGAATGGAGTAAGGATATGATGAGGTGGTGTGAAAGATGAGGTGGTGTGAAAGATGAGGTGGTGTGAAAGATGAGGTGAAGTGCATGGCAATAAATCGAGATGAAAAGTATGAATAATAAACGTGGAATAAGATCTAGAAAATATTTCAATCATTAAATGCTCATTCACATCATTTCTAGCAGGTAATATCAATCACACAAAATATCGCAGGTATAAATCTTGGTGATATAAAAATGATACACTCATTTTAAACACGTACAATACTGGAGCAATGATAAGTATTAGTTATATTTAATGAACCGGCTTATGATTGATGCTCGAAAAATAATTTTATTTGGTGTTGACATGAAGGAGTAAGAAATTTATTGCAGTTATAGCAGCTATTGTTGTGGAACGGTACTAATTGTTCTATTTACTTTTTTCATAAGGGCTAACTCGCCATAAATTTTAATCCGATACCCTCGACCCCTAAAAATGTTCTTTCTAATAAAAAAGCCTGCATGGCTCGACATAGCAAAAACACGAGAAATGGAAAGAGCAAGGCGGTACGAAATAGGTATGAAAGGTAACCGCTCAAATACAAAGTTTGTGAAGAAGGATGATAAGTATTACTTGAAAGTGGGTGATAAGTGGTTGGAGATGAAGAGCGTTGGTATGAAGGAGTTGGTGGTTGTTAGGAACGGTGCTTTTGCTGGGGTGATGGACGAGAAGTGGCTGTTAGGGGGATCTAGGATGGGTGAAAAGTGATGATGACGTATTGAGCGCATTGTTGAGATGGATGATTTGAGGATATTAGTTAGGTATTGGCACTATAAAAATAATTATAGGGCGCTGGTGAAATATTGAAGTACTATTGAGATAGGATACGAGTGAGGTAAACCAAGGTGATATTCTGAATTGCAGTAGCATTTGATTTGTTAACATGTCTGTTTGCGTAATGTTTAGCTAATTTAGACCGGGTATAAAATAATTAGTTATGTAATTGATGAAGAATTGTGAGTGCTGTAGAGGATGTTTTGTTCATTGTTGATATTGGAAATGATGATTTTAACAGTAGTGCTGGGTTAGAGACTTAATTAAAATGAAAAGATGATCAGTTAGAGATTTAATAGCGAAGCTTTGCGTTATTTAGAGATCGGCATCATTATAAGAGTGAATTGGCTTTATACACACCAACAGGAGTGGCCATTATTTTCGTATAATACGATAACTCGATTGGTATTGTTAAAGTTATTATTTTCTAATGTCAGATCTAAATGAAGCATATTCTTGTGATACCAGGCACCTTCTTACGTACAAGGAGTAGCTACGCTATTTGTAGTCATTGAACAGTGTAGGTATATGATAATATGTTATTGCAGGTTATATGAATTGCTTCATAGATTTGCTATTGAGAGAGAATACCAAATGCTGATATAATCGCAAATATAAAAAATCAGTTCAAAAGGAACAATTTATTTAGCCTGCATTGAAAGTAAAATTTTTTTGTTTCATCTTTTTGTACAAAAAGAAGTTAAAATTATCGTTCAATCTATTCTTTATGTGACATTCTCAGCTGTTTATTGTAAGGGTCTGAGGACATGATTACCGAGTGAAAATCAATCTTTGACTCCCTGTCAAAAGGCTGAAATTGAATGAAAAAAGACGGAAAAACATAACACGTCGTATTAGAAGAAGAAATTGTCATTGAATAGGTATACAGGCCTTATTTTGTTTTATAAACGTAAACAGTGCAGTTAGTTAGAAAATAAAAGATAAGATATCAATTTTGTTTTTTAGCAGAATAAAAAGCAATATGCAACGAATTTGCTGACAAAAATCAAAAAGCAGAGTACGGTTGCTACAATTTCATAATTATCATTTCA